GAGCCAAAGACATATGCCCTTTTAGCTTTGTTGGTAGCTAGCTGCATCCCCAATGATTTAAAGGAATAGCTAGCCTAAGCAAAACATATCATGGGTTGGGGCTGGTCGGGTCGGGCAGGGTTGGGCTGGTCGGGCCGGGTAGTGTTGGGCGTAGGTTGGGCCTATTTCTCCGATTCCGGATCTCGGGCGGGACCCAGCTCAAACCGTGATCTAGGTATAGAATAATACACATATCTATAAACACTATTTATACTAAAAGCACACGTTACTGTCGACTATACTCATCACAGTTAATAAAGTAATAACCCATTTAAATATCTCATCCCATGATTTTCGAATCTACAGCCGCACGCCTCTGGCCAAAACTAAAAACCTGTTCCGGCTCCGCTCCCCTATAAAACACCAACCTCTCTCAAACACCGTTCTTGCATCAACAACCACCACCACCACCCAAAACAAAAAACAAATCAAACAACTCAAAAACCCCAACAAAATCCACCCAAAAAAATCCAAAAAAAAAAAAAAAAGAAGAAGAAGAAGAAGATAGAAAGAAAAGAAAAAAATGGGTTTGTCCTTAACACCCTCCTCAAGATCAGCGGAGGTCGGAAAATGGCTGGGCCTAGTAACTGCGGTCTGGGTGCAGTGCATCTCCGGCAACAACTACACCTTCTCAAATTACTCAGACGCTCTCAAGAACTTGATGGGCTTGACCCAATTAGAACTGAACAACCTCTCAGTTGCTAAAGATGTTGGCAAAGCTTTCGGGATTCTTGCTGGGCTTGCATCTGATCGGTTGCCGACGCCGGTGATTCTTCTTATTGGGTCTCTTGAAGGGCTTGTCGGGTATGGAGCTCAATGGCTTGTTGTGAGGCAGTCGATCTCACCGCTTCCTTATTGGCAGGTATACTGCGTGAAAATTACTTTTGGGTTTGATTTGTTTTAGTAATCGGGTAGTTTGTTGCTATTATTTTCAGTTTATGGTTGAATATTTCATATTGATAATTTTGGAAAATACAACGTGATGTTGGGTGTTGTACGTTCAATGCAAGTATGGTTCCTTGTTATATGACCGCTAAAACTTGGTAAGTCAATTAGTTTTGGTTCAATTACTGTTCATAATTGGGTAAACTAGGGAACTTCACAGTCAGTTTCACCGCTTTCCTATTGGTAGGTGAATTGCATGAAGTATTGATTTCAGTTTTTGGGTTTAAGTTGTTAATAATTGGGTAACTTATTTCTCTTATATTCAGTTCGTACTCAAATATGTCATTGTTTATTTCGTGAAATTATTATTTTTCAATGTATATACGGGTCTTACACTCTTTTTTAGCCCAGTTTACTGAAGAAGTGTTATAGAAAGAAGTTAATAAGGAAAATATAGAGTGATGTTGGAGTTCGTATTAGTAGTTTGTTACGTGATCATCATCAATAAGTCAATTTAATTTGATTTTATCACCGAGTACCACTTTCCATTGACATCCACTGATTCATCTCCTTGAAGTCAACCATACATAGAACAATCTCATTCAACTTGAAGCATTATAGTAATCACATCTTATCATAGTTTTTACAATCAAGTTAAGTTCTTCGTAATTGAAACTAATGTGTCTTTTATGCATCATCATGTGCATATTAATGGTAACTTTTTGTAACTAATCTTTAATAATTATAGTAATGAAAAAGGGTTGTTTCTTTTTAGATGTGTATATTCCTGTGTATGGGAGGCAACAGCACGACATGGATGAACACGGCCGTGCTAGTCACCTGCATGCGCAACTTCCGACGGAATCGGGGCCCTGTGTCCGGGATCCTCAAGGGCTACGTTGGTCTCAGCACTGCCATCTTCACTGATCTCTGCTCCGCTCTGTTCGCCGACAACCCGGCCTCCTTCCTCCTCATGCTCTCCATTGTCCCTGCTGCAGTTTGCATCGCCGCGATGGTCTTCCTCCATGAATCCCCCTCAGCTGCCAACAAACCCACAGTTGCAGAAGAGGAGACCGAAGCGAAATGCTTCAATATGATCAATGTAGCTGCAGTTGTAATTGCAGTTTATCTGTTAGCCTTTGATCTCTCTGGTGAGCATGGAGTGCTGATTTCAAGAGTATTTGTGGCTGTCCTTATGGTGCTTTTAGTAGCGCCGGTGGGAGTTCCAATTTATTTATCCTTCAGGTCGAGGAGATCAAAATTAAATGGCGATGCCGAGGGTCAGATTGAGGAGCCATTGATTAAAGAAGAAGAGGAGACAGTGATGATTGTCGAGAATGAGAACGAGCATGAAAAAGAGGAGGGTGATGTTGAACAGAGAATTCCAGAGATTGGAGAGGAGCATACAATAAAAGAGGCATTGATGAAGTTGGATTTCTGGATAATGTTTGTGTCGTTCTTGTGCGGAGTTGGGACGGGATTGGCTGTGATGAACAATATGGGGCAGATGGGGCTTGCTATGGGTTACACTGATGTTTCTATTTTTGTTTCCATGACCAGCATCTGGGGATTCTTTGGGAGGATTGGTTCTGGTTCTCTCTCTGAGTATTTCCTCAAGTAAGTAATTACCTATAAGTCTCTGCTTATTTAAATGCATACATTGTTTATCCAAATATTTACTTATAGAAATTCAATATCCAAACCATAAGTATCTATTGCACTGGAGACTAGGTCATCTAAGAGGAGAATAATTGGTTCAATACAACTTCCGTCATTCATCCCTTTACTTTGCATTTTTCTCTTTTCTCCCTGAAATTAGTAGATGTTTAGTGGAGATGGTCAATTTGGTAGTTTCCTCTAAAATTCACTTAATGTAATTTTTTTTTTTTACTGCTTGCTGGTTGAATAGGCTGTTACTTTAGTGCAGTTAGAGGGAAATTATAGTTTGATGATTTAAATGAAACTAATAGGACATAAGAATTTGGTTATGCGCAGAATTATCAGTGTTATTTCTCATAGTTGAAAATCAAAACTTCCTTTTGTGATCTTGAATTGATTTTGTTTCTTAATACCAAGCCTTTTTAATGCGCTTCCAATAGGAAAATCCAGTATGTTTATCTTTAATAATACAATAAACGATTCCTACCATGGTGAAGCATCTTTCTGAGATTTTGGGTTTTAATCATTTTTTATTCCAAGTACATACTAAGAATTTATTCCAAGTCCTTATACATCCTCTTCTATAGTTGGCCCAGTGCAAAAAAGGTCCGTTTTCTGTTATTAAAGAAAGGATAAATTACACTAAATCCCCTTGATGTTTATAAGTTTGACAAAATATTCCCTGAGGTTTTGAAACTAACACTTTCTCCCCCTATTTTTAAATTTTCATTCTAATAAATTACATGACAGTCATGTGACCCATTAGTGCCAAAGATACCCCTTTCTATCAAAAGAGAAGAAATAAGCATATTTCTCTCTTCTTTTTTATCAGTTAAATCATATTTACCCCTCCCAAAATTTTCAGACTCGCAATTATACCTTCTGAACTTTAATCTTCATTTTTTCTTAAATGTTTTTTTCATCATTTTCCTTCTAACATTTGCTGGCATAATCAAATCCCTAAATTTTGAATATGAATTCAAAATTTAAATATTTATAAGAAAAAATAATATCTTGAAAATTTTAATTAGTTAATTAAAACAAAAAAACCTTAGCAGTGATTAAGAAGGAAAATATCATATATATTATATTTATAGCCTAGATTACCTTTGAATTTTTTTGATTTATATATTTTCCAGGACTTTAGAACTAATTGTGTTACATTTGTTTCAAAAATAATAATGTAGTCAGTTTTAAGTTGTAGGATTGGAAAATGCTTACAGAAAAGTTTTCTAAGAGAAATTGATGAAAGTTAAACTTTAGGTGGGATAAGTGCAACTATGTGAAACTTTAAGAAATATAAATGGGGATTTTACCCGCCCCCCCCCCCCCCCCAAAAAAAAAAAAAAAAAAGAAACATGGCTATTTCTTCCCTTGAGGAGAGAAAAAGAGGGTATTTTAGGCATTAAAAGGATCACTTGGGTATTATGTGACCTATGACATCAAAAATTTAAAATGAGGAGGAGAAAGTGTTAGTTTCAAAACCATAGGGGGATTTTCTTTCAAACCTATAAACTTTAGGGGGATTTAGTGTAATTTACCTTAAAGAAGCCTTTAGCAAGCATCTCAAACTGATGATGAGATAGTTGCGTAGACTTCATATATATACGTACTTACATACACACACACATATATATACATATATATCGTTATATAATATATATATGTGTGTGTGGGCCAGTATTGCTTGTTGTCCACATTCTATTAAAAATATCTTGTCACTTTTAGTGCCTTTCTTTGTCATATAGTACAATGTTTGAGGGGATATTGTGCCTAATTTTCTGACTTTGTTTTGTGTTACAATTACCTGTTTGTTTGCCCAAAAGACAAGACAACATGATAAAGAAACCAGTTGCTATAAAGTTCTCTTTCTCTTTAGTTTAGTTCCCACTTTGAAACCAAGTGAAATCAAGGTGGTGAGGTGGCACCCTTCCATTGGTTGATTTGAGTCTAGTTATAGGAAACCAATTTCCTCAATTTCTTCGAGGAAATTGCTTGAAAACTCTTTAGATGGTTTATTTGCCTTTTGTCTTTTTCTTTTCTTTTCTGGTAATCAACCAAACAGCCAAAGTTCATGTACCTCCAACATCCTGATTTTCTGGCAGGCTTTTTTTGCTGGGAAAGGGAGGTGGGTGGGTGGGTGTTTGAATTCCGATAAGATATAACTGCAATTGTTATGTAAATGGAGATTAGTTTGAAATGGTGAGTAGTGAAGGAGTGAGTGATCCTCCACAAAATCTTGGTATATGAGGCCAACCACTGGTGGATAAGAACTAGGTCGGAATCAACATTGAACCGCAAATAACCTATCAGAATCAGTTATCTGAGAGATGCATTGATTTGTTCAACATTTGCATGAAAATAATCGGAAATGGATCATATTTTTTTGATTTTGGAGTAAAACTTTGTTCAACACTCAAGACATTCTAGCAGTTACTTGACTGATGCTTACGCAGTTCATAGAGACAGAAATTCTCAATGATTGTTGCTTCTTTGTGCATTTCTATATGCTTACCTATTTTGTTAGATCATTTCTTTTTGAATAAGACTTTTTTTTAACACTTGGGTTTTTAACCTTGAAACTGAAGATTTGGTCTTGGCCCTCCTTTACATAAGTACTTGCATCTTGTTCCTCTTTCCCATTCGATTAATACTCTCCATCTTGCAGGAAATGCGGGACACCAAGACCTCTATGGAACGCAGCTTCCCAAATCCTAATGGCTGTTGGGTACATAACAATGGCCATAGCATTGCCTGGTTCTCTCTTTCTAGGCTCAGTCATTGTTGGTATCTGCTATGGTGTTCGTCTAGCTGTTACTGTTCCCACTGCGTCTGAGCTATTTGGCCTCAAAAACTATGGTCTCATATACAACATTCTCATTTTGAACCTCCCCCTCGGTTCTTTCCTCTTCTCAGGGCTCCTCGCAGGATTCCTCTACGATGCTGAGGCAACTAAAACACCTGGAGGTGGCAATACTTGTGTTGGGGCCCACTGTTACAGGGTCGTGTTTATTATCATGGCCATTGCGTGTTTTATCGGGTTTGGATTTGATCTGTTGTTGGCGTTCAGGACGAAGAAGGTTTATATGAAGATCTATGCTAGCAAGAAAGCGAAGAGAGCAGTGGTTCGGTCCATCAAAGTCTGATGATTCATGCCTAAGACATTCTTTTTGTGTTATTTCTCTTGAATTTATTGTATATTAGAAATCGGACATGAGATCAAATTGTAACTGGTCTCATCAATTTCACAGTATGTAATCTTGTCACTTGTCCCTGTATATTCTTTCCTTTCCTTTATGCCCTTTGGGGCGACGGAGAAGAAGAATTCATTTAGTTTGAGTTCAGAGGTAGAAACTGTGTGCTCGGAGATATTTGATGTTTGGTTGAAATTATGTGAAAATGAGAGAAGAATAATGAATAAATTTCATATTTCAAAGGTCTAATCAGTGTCCTCATGCATGTTACAATTTCACTCTGTACTTTCTCAAGTAACTGACCAGCTTCCACCTCTTTTTAAATTTTAGTGCATACTTTGTTTTCTCAAATATTAATTTACATATAAAATCATAGAAATTCAATGATTGCACTTTGAACCCTGAAAATCTCAACCCTCCTCTTCTCCTTCCCCACTTTCGTTTTCATTGATTTTGTTTCCTGTAAATCACCAACTTTGTCTAAAGGATATGGTTACCTTGAGAGTTTCTTGTAAGCTGCATGCAACATAATTTTTGTTAGTGTGCACTTGTTAAAATGACTTGGGAGTTTTGTTGTGCGCAGCGGAAATTTCGGCAGCACCTCTGATGCACAACAAGAGAGTAAGATCACAACTAAATCTCTGTTTCACAAAGCAATCAAGAATCGAAAATAATATATCTCAACAAAGTGGGATATGCACTCTTCCTCTCATAAGTTCTAGGACTGACTTGTCAAGGGGACCTATAAGCTATTACAAATCATAGCAAGACAAACTATTTTACGGGGTTCGGCAAGTTGCCTATGTCCACGGGGCAAGGAGGGGGGAGATCTACTATTAGAGGGAGAGAATATAACTAGGGTTTACAATCTCACAACCTAAACCAGCAAACAATCTCTCAAATCCCTCACAATCTCTCTCTCAAAAGGATGCTCAAAACCCTTAAAGAAGGACTGACTTCTGCCGCTGTCTTCTGTGATTTTTCTGCACCTGCACGAAGCCCAAAGAGAACTCACAGCCGCCTGTCTCTCTGCACTCACAAACCCTCTTTTTGCACTTCCCTTCACGAAGCCCTAGGGTGGGTGTTTATATCCGCTGGTTCTTAACCTCCCACACTATTACATCCGTTGGTTCTTAGCCTCCCACACGGTTACATCCACTGGTTCTTAGCCTCCCACACGGTTACATCCGCTGGTTCTTAGCTCCTCACGTGAATTCCCTAGCTCTTCACATGTTTTCATGCCCAGCTCTTCACGGGAATTCTTGAGAACCTGATCTTTTCACGTGGCCCCCACCCACGTGCTTCACAATTCTCCACCTCGGTGAAGTTTTTCCAAAACTGAGCCAACACTAACCAAAACAAATGTCTCACTTGTTGCGTCCGGTACGAAGTGAAACAATTCACGACAACGGACTCAATTCACAACAAGTCAAGACCTAAACGAGAATGTGAATACTCTTGAAATGTTGATATCAACTCACCAAATCGGTTGCATCATAAAGACTACCTACATATCCTCTTGCCCAATGAATCAAGCCTCACGTAGCTCATCCAAATGACCTTCAAAGGCCTCAACACCGAAGAATATTCAAAAGCTCCAAACAATAACGTCTTCATTATCTAAAACGTCACGAACAAAGTGGAATCTGACATCGATGTGCTTCAAGCGCGCATGATAAACTTGGTTCTTCGCCAAATAGATAGCTGACATGTTATCATAATATACCCGAAGGGTCTCTTGTGCAATCCTCAAGTTCTCTAATAATCCACGCAACCATAAAGCCTCCTTAACAGTTTCGGTCACCATCATATACTCCGCCTCTGTATTAGAGAGGGCCACTGTGAACTGAAGTGTACATCTTCAACATACCGGTGCTCCTGCCAATGTAAACACATCCTGAAGTAGACAAGCACTTGTCAAGATCTCCAGCATAATATGAATCCACGTAACCAATATAATCCTGCCCATTCTTCTCATCCTTCCGAAAAATCAATCCAACATCCATAGTTCCTTTAACATACCATAGAATCCACTTCACAGTCTCCCAATGATCCTTCCTGGGGTCATGCATTTGCCTCGATACCATGCTCATGGCCTGTGACAAATCTGAGCTCGTACACACCATCGTATACATCAAGCTACCTACTGCCCTGACATATAGGACCTTCGAAATATAATCTCTGTCCTCAACTGAAACATATGACATACTAGCTGAAAGCTTGAAGTGGGAAGCCAATGGAGTGCTAACTGCTTTTGCATTGCCATCAAAGCTAAATTTCTTCAACATCTTCTGCGAATAGCTCTTCTGTGTAAGCTTCAATCTCCCCTTCATCCTATCTCTCTCAATCTCCATACTCACGTGGGTGAAACAAATTAACCCTTAGCCTTGTGCGTGAAAGCCAACATACGGACGAGTGAAGAGATAGCGACAGCTTGCCCAAATCAAAACCGCGTGAAAGAGAGTGGATTGTTCAGCGGTTCTTTGGGTCCACCCGCTTTGCCTCTTATAAATACACATCGGTTCCTAGGGTTTATGTGAGCGAAGGAGGAAATTGTAAAGAAAAATCGACTGACTTTCTCTTTTTGCAGCGGGCGTAACTGCAGAAGAAAAAAACGAAGCCGTCGACTTTAGGAGGATTTTTTGAGCATCCCTTTTGAGAGAGAGATTGTGAGGGATAGGAGAGATTGTTTGAGGGTTTAGGTTTGTATTCTCTCCTTTTAATAGTAGATCTCCTCCCTCCTTGCCCCGTGGACGTAGGATATTTGCCGAACCACGTAACATTAGTTGTCTTGTTGTGATTTATAATAGCTTGTAGGTTCCCTCGACAAGTCAGTCCTAGAACTGATGAGAGGAAGAGCTAATATCCCACTTTGTTGAGATATTTTCTTTCGGTCTTGTTTCTTTTATGAAACAGGAATTTCGTTGTGGTCTAATATCTTGTTGTGCACCTTGCGCACTGAAGGTGCTGTCGAAATTTCTACTGTGCACAACAGATCTTCGGTTATCAGTTGTGTTCATGTCTTTTCTATGATTAGTGGTTTTGACGAGTTAGAGTTTGCTATTAAATTTGTCCAAGACTTGGTACTCCTCATCTTCCTAAATTTAAGAGACGTAAATTGCATAGCTCAGAGGCTTTGCCATTGAAGGTCCTGAAGCTGGAAAAGTAAGATTTATGAATAATAATGAGCTGGTTTGTTGGAATTTTTAATGATGAACACCGTTAATTAGACTTATAAGTTTTTCAAAGACAAGTCAAGTTATTAAAACCCAATTTAAATGAGATTCTTTTTCTTTCATTCATGTTTATATATAATTTGCTAGAAGCTATTTGTTTCTTTCTTGATCTTGTAAGGGCCGCTTTTTGAATGAATGGTTATTCTCAATATGTACATACATGTTTTATTTTGTCTTTATAATATTTAATTAAATTACATAAGACCCCATTTGGCAAAGAGTTAAGGAGGATGTGTTCGCGGGAAAAACTGTAGCTTTCTTTGTTATTGATTCCATTGTCATCTTAAGTTACAACTTTTTGAGTTACAAAAGATCCGGTCTTTTTATAAGATCCGGTTACAACGAAAATCAAATAAAAATAAACAAAGATTACAACTTTTCTCCTTTTGTGTCGAACGAATCGCGAGCTCCTGTTTTACGGTCGCTCGCTTGGTGGGTTCTTTGCCTGCGCCGGGGTTGTTTGCCGTGGACCACCGCGAGATCTAGATCCGGTCGGATCTACGCAGTACGACGGGTATTATTTCACCAAGGAAATAATAGCCGGGGAGGATTGTCTCACCAAGGAAACAATCGTCCAAGTCTCGGGATCTAAGACCAAGCTTAGATCCGGAGTATGCCTGCGTAGATCTGAGATCTGATCCTCTCGAACACCTGCCTTATTTGACGTTGATGATCGCCGAGCACCAGATCTGAAGGAGTGAGTCCCCGAAGTCCCAAAGTTTCAATCTTTTTTAAGTTCCGAGTCTCCAATCCAGCAGGGCTTCGCCTCTCTCCAAAATTTCCAACCCTTCAAAATGAACAAGGGGGTGGCCTATTTATAGGCAAGCGTCACTGTGCCCGTGTGCACGTGTGGCCGACACCCTAGGTGGCCGGCCACCTCAAGGTGGCTCGGCTCATGCCGAGCCACCCTGAGGTGGCTCGGCCACCCCAGGGGGTGGCTCGGCCTTGGCCGAGCCACCCTGAGGTGGCTCGCCGAGCCACCCCAAGGTGGCTCGGCCACCGAGCCACCTAGGTGGCTCGGCCGAGCCACCACTTGGTGGCTCGGCCACCGAGTCTCCTTGTTGGCTCGGTGAGCCGACCTCCAGGTGTTTGTCGTTTTGCCTCTTTGTGCCCGTTTTCCGGTTCTGCGGTTGATTGGTTCGGATTCGATTTGTTGACCTGATTTGGCAGTAAATCTGGATCCCGATTAGGCAGTAAATCCGCTTCTTAGTTTGAGTCTGAAACTGATCTTGATTTTATCGAGTTTCCCCTTGGTTGGATGACTCGTTGACTCTTTGAACACTTGGCTTGATCCCGTATGCGAATGGACGTATTTCGTTACTTGCGTGCGATTCGTCGATCTCGTCGCCTCGTTGGTTTGTCGGTTCGTGCCGAGCTGAGCTAAGGGACCTATAAGCAATTTTATATGCCTACAGGATGGATTAAGAGAAGGGTTAACTTAGTTAATCCATCGTGAAGAGTTAAAAAAATTCTAAACCCATTTAGATATGATAGTTAAGACAAGGGGTTAAAACTTTTGTGTTTGGAAAATGAAGAGGGGTTAAGGAGATTAATCTCATTATTTTTTAAAAATACCACTTTTGTGTTTGGAAAATGAAGAGGGGTTAAGGAGATTAATCTCATTATTTTTTAAAAATACCACTTTCGCCCCTATTGAAGATTTATAAATAATTACCTCATCAAAAACAAAAAAAATAAACATTTCCCATGTATACTAAGAACCCCATTATTTTTACAAGCTGCAAAAAAATTAATATTTAGGACCGAAATAAAATATTAACATGAGCTAAAAAAGTTTGTACTAAGTAAAAACACCCTAATGCCACTATGAAAGAACCCTAAAGGGGGTGAATAGGGTTTTTACTAATCTAATCTGATTTATGCTAATTTAAAACTAATTAACAAATACCCTAGTAAGAGTGATATGCAATAAGATATATATGCAAGGAAAAGCTATATAAACAAGGGTGAAACAAGATAAACAAATAAAAACGATCTAGTGAATGAATTATA